AAAATCACCTCAAGCGACCTGAGGTGATATTGCTCTTATTAAAGTTAATGCGTTTCCATTTTTTTGATTTATTTAAACTTGTCGCCAAATTACAGAAAAATATTGTCTTGGAATAACATTTTCACTTAATATACTGCCATTTTTGGAATTGTTTCCAAAAATTTTATCCCAGTTAGCGTATAACGTAGTATATTTGTTAGTTTTGCTAATACGTTTTTTAACTTATTTCGCCAATTCATTTATTCGAGTTATATATATGATTGATTTATTGATATATGTTTATATATGCTTATGCGACTATACAAATATATATATATATACATATATATATTTCTTTGTTTACATATATGCACACATGAATATGCATAAACCACATAAAACTGTTCACGTATGCCATCACTGCCTTAACTTACGCCATCCTCAAATGCTCGTCCCATTATATCACCAGACATATATCCATATATAATCATATCATATAACATTATCATTGCTTCTAATTAAAATATCTCATTCGACGACACTTGTTCGCGTAGCTGATCCTAGCCAACCGCTTCAGCCAGATTGGAGCTGCCCAGTTTTGTTACGATCTGAGGCAATGCTTCTTTCCACTATTTTCCGTTTACACCAGCTATCCAGAAACATATATGCCTATTTGCCTAGAAGCCGGCAAACTACTTTCCCTACAATCGGCAACTGCAATCCTTTTGGCTGAGTCACTTCGCCTGGCTATGGGTAGTGACATCCGTTCTCATGATCCATCATCGCAGTTTTGTGATGTATATGCTATGCGCGCGATGACAGCTCTTCACGAACTGGGTATCTATACCTTGACGCTGGAAGAATCTGATTCCGTTATTATGCAGCGTATTGAAATTTCGACTAGCCGCTTAGGGCCGGCCAACTAGTCGAGTAAAGTACTGACTTTTTTATTTGATTATTTTAAAGTCTGGAATTTGCTACTTTCCTCAGTTTACACTGTAAATTCTTTTTTTCTAATTCTATTTAATTAAATAAAAATAAATATGTCCGTTGCCTAGTATTTGCGAAGAGAAGCTGGGCTTAGAAGAATCCCTTAGTGACTTATTGTAACTACCTTTTATTTCGTGGCTGATAGGGACCTATCAATTGGCCCTTCCGCAAAATGAAGGATTACCTACATGTAACTTTTAATTTATGTGAAGTTTTTCTGCGCACCTTTTTGGCTTATTTTAATGAATATTTTCTGAGGACCGATTA